TATACTGTGATTTGAACATTTTGTTACTGTGTTTTTTAGTTTTGGATCAAGGTTTTCATCAAGATTTGCAAAAGTTAAAAAAACATAACGCAAATCCAGTGACCCTTGGTCTTACAATGTCTTTATTGTTTGTGAGTTTTCTCAAGTCTGATAGTGGGCATAAACAAATATTGTGAATCCTTTAGCCATGTTAATGATGGTCTTAAAACTTAGGAATTTTGCAATGCTCTCCAGCATCAAATTAACAGTACGAGCAGCAGATGATGTCCAAAAACGTGTGGCAGTTTCTCTTTCAAGATTTTAGCAGCAGCCATGCTGTTTGGTGCATTGTTGTTATAACCACATTATCTATTCCAACATCTTCATAGCACTATACTTGACATACTCATAAATAAACAGTGGCAGAATTGAGGACATTATTATAACACATTTGAATGGGGTCTACATTTTGTGAGGCCTACGATTCTTAAAAAAATTATAAAATTTTGTTTTGTATAATTAAAAATAAAGTTAAAAATACATATAAGTAGAACTATGTAATACGTAGATATATAAGTAAAACTATGTAATACGTAGATATAAGTAAAACTATGTAATACGTAGATATGTTCTAGAAGTTATTTCAGTTACATATTTGTTTCTTTAAAATATAAAGTTATTACAATAAATAAAATTATATAATGATTTAATATATTTTTAATATTTTGTATGAGATCTTGAAAATTTCAGAATTAGCTTTGTCCACACAATTTCTAATAAATCAAGAGTATCTTCTTCCGGATATTCCCATGTAGGATGTGATTGAAAGTCACATGTACGTTAATATTTTTCACTTAAAAACGTGTTATTCTGGTTTCAGCTCATAAATTTACCAGTTAGGTGAACTGTTTTTTTGTTCATCTACCAGTTAGGTGAACCGTTTTTTTGTTCATTTAGTCTGACTACTATTTAACTAAAGGTAAAGTGCTTAATTTTTATCTCAATTATGCTAGCTTTTTATTTTTACCATTAATGATTTAATTTTTACTCTAATTTACTTACTCCCTTTGTTTTTAAATAAGTGTCATTTTGACTCTTTATACATAAATTAAGAAAATTGTATAATAGACTAATATATCCTTATTTAATGTATGTTTAATTAAATGAAAATAATTTAAGTAAAATACTATTGGTTATTCAAAAGGGTAAAAAATAGATTTAATGTACAAAATTACATTGGGATTGTAGAATGACACTTTTTTTGAAACAAAATTAAAAGGCTAAAGTGACACTTATTTAGAAACAGAGGAAGTATAACTTTTTCTCTAAATTACTCTTTTTTAATTACTCTGTCTCTAAATTACTATAATTTAGTTACTCTCATTCTAGTTATTCTCATTTACTGTATGTATGCCAATTACACTCATAGTGTATGACTGTCTCTTCTATCCATCACTTTAAAATTCTGTTGGTGCCTGACGCAAAGACCATGAAATCATCAAAATATTTCTGGTTAAAATAGTGTATCAGGTCTTTCTTAATGAGCCAAAGAAATCCACAATACAGAGATGAAATCTTAAATTGCAACGTTGATGGCTTCATCCTTCATGTGATTACGGCATCATCTTGGGTATAATTTTTATATTTTTCCACATATATACAAATATTTAGGTATCAAAATTATGTTACATAAAAGACTGATCTTTCTTTGGTTAGATTTTTATTTTTATACGTTCAAAAAAAGTATAAGTTTATTCATGAGGAAACACATTAGGTATAAGAGCCAGGGCCAGCTTAGGGAGGTTTCAGATCTGAGGTGATTCCGGGTTTCTACCATAGATCTAAGACAGTAAAGGAATCTCTTGTTGGTCTTCTTAGATTTGTGTATTGAATCACCATTAATAGATCTGAACAATCTGTGGTATTTCTACGAAGTTTTCTGGTATTCTATTGGTTACAAGGTTTTCGATATTCTCTGTTTTGTTGCTGTGGTTTTTCTATTGCATTGTGATTTCAGACCCTGATCAAGTTTGTTATCGTTATTCATGGAACCTACACGAGCAAGGTTTGAGGTTGAAAAGTTTCATGGAGAAGGAGATTTCACTCTGTGGAAGCATAAGATGTTAGCACAATTAAGGTTAGATTCAGTGTTACAACCTGAGGAGGTAGAGGTGGATCCTAAGGGCAAATCTGTTGCTGAGGATTCTGACTCTAATACGACACTATATTCTAAATGGCTTGATAAGGATAGAAGGGTAAGGAATCTGCTGAGTATGAGTCTTAGGAGGGTGATTGAATTGTGGATTTTAAAGTGTTTTGATTTTATTTTAAAATACCTTGTTATTCAACTAATGATTTCTATTTTTTTTTTCAAAATCCTGTGTTATTGAATATGACATTTATCTAAAGTCACCACAAATCACTTGCAATTTCCTGTTATTCAATTAATAATTTCTAAAAACTATATCAAATCCACTGTTATTCAATTGTAAACAATATTTAGAAAAAAAGATTGTGACTGGGATTTTAGAAGACTTGAGATTCATTTTTAGTTAAAATTTGTTCGTTTAGAATAATATCTCCGTAGATGTTATTTGAAGATACTTTAAAATAAATAAAAATGATACATTCTGAAAAATAGTGTTGTGTATTTTTTTTTTACTCAGTTACAGCTGTTGCATGAAATAGTGAAACAGTAGGTTGGAGTTATGGCGACGGAGAGTGGAAGAAGACGATCGGAAGAAACCTTCTGAAAATGGATAGAGAAATTATCTACCAAGACTACAACCTAGTTGCGAATGCAAATCGTTAAACCATATATCAAATTCTGGATCGGTCTCGTTTATGCCGTCTTTATATCGAGATGAGTTAGCCCAGAAAACCAAAAGTCAAGTCCTACAAGAGTTAAGATGTGGCTTAAACCGAGGGCCAAATAAACGTCCATGATGAGCAGTTAAAGTCCCGAGAGATGAAGATAAGGTGAAAAGAAGATGTTAGAGAAAATTTGCTACCCAAATGTCTTAAAAGGAAAACGTCACTTCTTATTAATCTTCATTACATTGTGTTTCGTCTATGTACACTACTGCTAAATTTATATCTAGCAATTTTTTTTTAAATACTTTTAGCAGAATAAATCACAACAGAGAAACTTGCTGCAGTTTTATGCTACACTTATCTTCAGCTTTATTTAGTTTGTCTTATTTGTAGATTATTTGCAGTGACAATTCTTTAGTGGCCCCAAAGAAAATAATAACTGGCAAAAGGAATGTCAGTTTTTTTTTTCTACTGGTTTGGCGCTTGGCATGCAGTCTCAACTACATATCAAAAAGCTTAATCGTTGAATGATATCTGAAAACAAAACTGAAGAACTGATCATACCACTAGCAAAACTGATCAATAATATACTGCATCAGCCAAGTTCTCAATTTTACTCTGCAATTATCGTATATGAAGAAAAAAAACATAAATGATGATGCCAAAAAAATCATGATCTGCATAAAAAACCTCAAGTACGATGTATGAGAGATGTATAAAACTGGTGACAAAACAAAAGCCAAAACAACTTAGCAAGCTAAGTACAGACTGCAGCAGAGGTGAGTGGGCTAACACTATAAATCCGTAAGCAAAATGTTTGTAACAAAAAAATATTTCAAATCACGTAAACAACTCTGAAATTTATAGAAAATATCTTACCAAATCAACTATAGATTTTATTTTTTGTTTTAAAATTTTTACTAAAATCACTAAAACAACTACAAAACTCACCAAATCCCACAAAAATTAAAACTCTCACAAATCTCCTCAAATCCTTAATTCAGTACACCCTTCTTAGTGACATGGTGTTAGGGAAATTCATCAAGTCCAAGAAGGCTATTGAGATGTAGACGGCTCTAGAGTCTACTTATCAGATAAAATCATTATTTTTGGATGGTATTCCAGCTAAAGATGACAAATCTAATTCAGCAGTGGAGCAGCTGGATGAAACCTCTTATGGCATACTCGACTTGGTCATATGAGTTTGAAAGTAATGCAGTCTTTAGTAAAGAAGGGTTTTCTTGAAGACAAACTGATAACTGATAAAAAGCATTGTGAACACTGTGTATTGAGCAAGTTCCACAAGTTATCATTCGGCAAGGAAAAGCATAATTCTGAAGAACCACTGGCCTATGTGCATTCTGATTTTTGGGGTTCTCCTAATGTTACGCCAAGCCTATCAAACTCTCAGTACTACATATCTTTCGTGGATGACTATTCTCGAAAGGTTTGAATTTATTTTTTAAAGACAAAAGATGAAGCATTCTCAAAATTCAAAGAATGAGTTGCACGTGTTGAAAACCAAAGTGGAAAATCTTTAAGAGCTCTAAGGACGGACAATGGGTTGGAATACTGTAACAAAACGTTTGTAAGATTTCTGTAAAAGAAAAGGTATTCTGCGTCATAAAACATGTCCTTATACTCCCCAACAAAATGGGGTGGCTGAATGATAAAACAGAACAATTCTTGAAAAGGTAAGGAGTCTGCTAAGTGAGACGGGTTTGAGTGAAAGGTTTTGGGCCGTGCCATCGTGTACAGTAGTTTATATGATAAACACAGGACACCTTCTATTCCTTTGGGGTTAAGAGTTCCAGAAGAGGTTTGGACAAATAGACCACCGAAATACGATCACATGAAGAGATTTGGTTGTCTGGTATATTATCATGCGGACCAAGGGAAACTGAAGCCTAGAGCAAATAAAGGAATTTTCTTGGGTTATCCTTAGGGAGCTATAGAATAAGGAATTATGAAGAAAAGAAGATTGTCATAAGTCGAAATGTATCATTCTTTGAGAATGTGGTGTTTAGAGATATTAAAGACAAGTCTCTCTTGTCTATGTCTCAAGATAAGGATAAGAAGAAAGTCAGTTTTCTTTTACTATTGAATGAACAAGCTGAGTCTTCGGTTGAAGTTGGAGTTCCTTCTGGTTGGTACATCTCATGAGGAAGAATCTCAAAGTGAAAATGACAAGAAAGAAGAATCTCCTGGAAATCTAAAAAATCATATGTTGGCAAGAGATAGGCAACGAAGAAACATTAAACCTCCGAGTCGGTTTGATGACGGAGATGTTGCAGCCTATGCTCTTGTGATGTCTTGAAAAGAAAAGTAACCTAACTAAAAACTATTGCAGTTACACTTGCTCATGGTAAAGAAAACAATTTTTTTCTTAAGAATTATATAGTCTCCAAATCCTCCACTTTACACACACGAGTCAAATCACAAAATGTTCAACAAAAGGATAAATCATGTTTAGTATTATCGTATGTGTCGTCTTGTGCTTAACCAATTGAGGATATGGCTTTGTGACTGAAGTCTGTTGGGCCGAGTAGTATTGTGGCAATGTCCAGGTGGAGAACTGAAGTCAAGTAGCTAAAGCCCAGAAGTATTATACTCTGCGTTTTGATCAATACACAAGTTGTGTGTTAACAACGGATATAAGAAGCTTACCATGTGCATTTCGTAACAGACTGGTGAGCTGGCAGTCAAGTTGCAAGGAAAGGTTAAAGCAGGATAAGTGTGAGTATAAGAGGAGAAAGGAAAGTAACTAGCCGATAAGGTGAAAAGATTCCATCGTCATTAAAAAGTCTTGAGAGGGTGAGAGAAACACGTGAGGAAAAGGGTCTGAGATCATCTTCTTCGTGTACTATGTTTCTAGATCTTTGGATTGAGTGGCGAGAGGTATTGGTGAGTAGTGTGAGCTTGGTGAGTTTTAATTAGGCTTGTAATCGCTTCTTTTCTCCTGAGACGTACTTGGACTCGTTAACGTCGTTGGGAACTTTAATCTCTATGTCTCTTTATCTTTCTGTAAACAACAAACAAACACAAATAATCAGAGAATGTATAATATAAAGAGATGACCTAGATAACTTGTTATCGAATTTAAACCACGACCGTCTGCTATTACTTTCAACATGTAAAAATATTAAATTTTAGGTTTTAATCAGTATTATATATCATGATTACTAACATAATAGTTCTCACATGTACTCAGGTTTTGGAAAGAAAGGAGGTGTGCAAGAATTACTTGGACTGTAATAAGATATGTAGTGTATGTGTACAACATGAGGTGTAAGCATTAACGATAAACACGTGGATTTACCCCTTGCTAAGAGCAATCACAAGCTTGAATTGAGAACTGCAAGGAATAGGTGAAGTAGCTTAACTTTGGAATCCAGGCCGCCATTGTTCATGTCACCAACTTTCTAATTTTTCTAAATAAAATTTGTTAAATGCATGGGACTTGTGGTGTGCATGCGCGGTCTGACTGGGACGAAACAGTGATCCAATTACAAAACTTCAGAGGAAATAAGAACTTGAGACGGCTTCTGCTACTTGCCTGGCAATCGACTATCTATTCACTCTGGAGAGAAAGAAACCTGAGGATCCACCAAAAGATCTACCGTTCTGGTGACGTTATCATCTCTTTCTTGGACAAACAGATCAGAAATCAAATCCAGAGTTTTAGACTCTCTAGACCTCGTCAATCCTCTCTCATGATGCAGCTTTGGTTTTCAACAGACTGATCTCCTCCCCTCTCTCTCACGGTGATTTTCTCCGTCTCCTCCGTCCAACGTCACAACTTCGTCTTTTGACAAAGTTCTATTTTGTTACTGGGCTTTTACTGGGCTTTTAGTTCTTTAATATGTGTTCTGATTTTCAAAAATTTACTGGGCCTGTCCCAAACAAAACTAAAGCTATGGGGGCTTGTACCTTTTTTATTTTTCTTTGCAGTTTTTAATATGAAAGCCATTTACAAAAAAAAAAAAAAATGCATGGGACTTACCATTTCTAGTATGCTTTTTATTTCTCGTCTCTCTTAGTATTTTTTTTTTCTTTCTTTTCTTTGTTATTGTTGTCCTCCGACAAATCTATGGTTTCTTAATTTAAGTTCTTTGATACATTATTTTGTTGGCTATCGTCATGACTATAAAGTATTTCTAGATCAACCATTCGCCACATGACTAGTGCATCCGGCTCTCTTTCCTACTAACTTCTCATGCATGTGTTTGTACGGACGATCTACTTATGAAAACCTAAGATTTGATTTGACTCGTGGAAAATCATTCAACGACGTTGGAAAGAATAGGGAGTCCCACGATGTCCCTGTGAGTCGTGGGATAGGTTCAAGACGCCTCTTAAAATTCACCATTGAGAATAAGCCTTGAGAATTCATCAATGGAAACATAACTTCATGCACCGAGAACAAATGTATTCAATACAAAAAGAATATGCAAAATAATAATGTGATGCATTAAAAGTTAATGCAAACATGGTTAAAACTTAAAACGAAGAAAATAAACCCTAACTAGTAAAATTGTTCTAAGTAAATCCGTGAAATATGTGAAATCCAAACCGTTAAATATGGGATAAAAATAGATGGTGTTGGTGTTATTGCGCTCATAGTTTATAATTAAGTGGGAAATTAATTACACCATGTAATAGGTATTAACGGAAAGTAGTTATAATCGTAGAGATTGATTAGGTTCCAAGGCTCAAACTCTTCCTAAATTTTCTTAAAAGAAAATCTCTCGAAACAAAATTAATTCGAACCTAATTAGATATTTTAAATTAGGTATAATTTATTCTATTCAAAATACAAAAGATTTAGGTATAAAATCATAAAGGTAATATACTATTTTGGATATAATTCTATTTGTATACATCC